TTTGGGTTCAATGTGAGGGGTAACTCATGAAAGGAAGGATCGTTAGATTCATTAATGGATAATTGTGTCCTACATCAGGGGCGGAGACATTAAGTGGAGTCAAATTTTAGTACAATAAAACATATATTTTAAAACAAATTACTAATGTTACATACCAGTTAAAATTATACCATACGAGTACTCAATTTTTTTAAAACGTTGCAAAATCAATTCATTATCAATTTTATTAAATACATCTTTTTCAATGTAACTAAATGAAACTCTTGATTTTTTAAAAATAATTTGTGAATTACCATCAACTTGATTTTCTACGAGTTTCTTTTAAGAAATTTATCTTTACCATGTTATAAATAAAAATCATAGTAACTTAATTTTGTATTATAAATAAAAAATTTACCGTCCACTTGAAAAATTCTTTTTTTTTTTTAAACTTTGAAATTTGAAGAATTGGTTTTGTCACTCTACTCAAGACAGTTCACCCCTTGTTTTTGGAAACTTTGGATGAATTTATTCTTGAACTAACTTCCGTAAATAACTTGAAATAAATTCAAAATTGTCATGATGGTAAGAATTATGAAATTTCAATTGTTTGGGGTCGATGTATATGAGAAAAGAGAATTTGGTAAAATTTAGTGGAGTCAAATAAGATGCAAATTTAAAATTTTCTAAATTACCTAAGGCTAAAAACTAATTTTCCAAAATTAAGTGAGGTCAATTGACTCCACTGGCCTCTCGTACTCGTATGGTCCAATGGTGGTTCAATTCTTATTGGTTTCCCGTGATCCTGTTGGGTCACTTCCCTTGTATAGGTTAGAGTAACAGTAGGTGTAGATAGTGACAATAACAAAAAAAAAAAAAAAATTGACCCACTTGCTTGCACATGCTCCACCACTGTCCTACATCAAGTCAAGAAATGAACAAACACCACTCAATATGTAAATTAATAAAGGATCGACACCTAACATTTTAAGTTTTTTGATCAATGACGGGGTTTTAAACTTACATATTACACCTCTTCCGTGGATTCACTTGAGATTTTTCTCCCTAACAAACACTTTTAGGCACATCCCAGAGGCAGTGGGAATGGAGGCAGGGGCAGCCACAATCCCCCAACATTTGGAGATATTTTTAAATTTTAGCCACTAGGTGACTAGGAGATTATGAAAATTTTCATTAAAAGTGTTTCTTTCACTCTACGTCTACCCCTTAAAATTTTGACAAAATTTCCTTTGCTTCCTCCCCCACATAGCTTATATTGCATGAAAAATTTGAACTCTTACTATTCTTTACACATTTTTTACCTTGTTATTTGTTTTGTTGGTCTATACTAAAAACTCAACTTCTTTAACTGTTTAGTGTTATGTATTCCTTGTTAAAATTTTGGTTGAAGAAGTGTAATCTAATAGCTAAGTTGGGCATGCCTTTTAATTCACATTTTGGACAACTTTTTTATGACAATATCTCATCTATGCTAATTGCACACTATTAAATATAACCCAATATCTAATCAATGTATTCATTTAGATACCACAATTTTGTTCAATCTATACTCAATGAGAATGCAACCCGATCAATATATTTCACAACAAGTTGCAAGATAATTAAATACAAAAATCAAAGGGGCATACATAAAAAAAAAAAGGAAAGGCTTCATTGTAGAACATGCATTAGAAAATGATGATCTCCTAATCAATAATCATCATACCAACAACGAAACAAACTTATGATGTTTTAATAGTAATATTTGATAATAACAATGAGTCTGTTTGCATAGGTCGAATTTGAATGATTTGGATAGAAATTTTGATTTCCACGATTTAAGTTATTTGACTATGGTATTGTGCCAGATTGATGTACCGAGATTGAAATCACAATTATGACTTTGGACAGCCTCTGGTACATTTCACAGCCACTAAATTGAGACACAGGTCCCACACTTTGACTTTTGAATTAATTGCTCGTTGTCTTCACATTGTTGAATGAGTCTGTGGGCGGCGAATTAAATTTGGATTTTCCTTCGGAATATCATGCCCTTGCATGATGTTGGATTTCCCACATTTTAATAACAACTCACTTAGATTTTTGAAAAACTCAACCAATTTTTTTTCCTTCTTAGTCTAAATAAACCCCAAGTTGGTATTCCAGCTTGTTTGGCGACCAGTAGTAAAAACTCAATACTCATGGCTTTAAATGACACGACAGTAATGCTCCGATTACAAAGAAAGGCAACATTATACTACGAAGAAAGAGAAATTTATTTGGGCATTACAAATGTGGCAGTACTGCTGCAAAATCGTGGATTCTGTAGCGAATAGCAAATAATGCTTTGACTGCTTCACACACGGTGTCGTGTATTTCTATAGGCATTGAACATATGTGTCGCTATTATATCTCTCATGGCAATCCATTGATCAACAACTTCCGGTGGAGAATGCAGCGGCTATATCTCGCGATATGAAGGAATTGCATCATAAATATCTGGATCTCCCACATCCTAGTTAGCAAAATACATATCATTCAGCTGCTGGTCCCTAATGAAATTATGCACTACACAACAAGCAATAACTACATTTATCTGCGTTGTTATCATGCAATTTGATACGGCTCTCCTTAAAATGGCAAATCTCATCTTAAGGACACCGAAACTTCGCTCTATGACATTCCGTAGTGTAGAATGCCGGTAATTAAAAAGTTCTTTGGCAGTTGCAAATCTCCCCCTCCTGCGACCACTTACATCCCCTATAAAGTGGTAAGAAATCGGACACGTTTCGATACGCGGAGTCAACCAAATAGTATTTTCCTATGACAATTCGAAAATACAATCGAATTAGTTGCATTGAATTGCTGGCTTATATACATGGAAGGATTACAAATTATACCTGGAAGAGGCATAGGGAAGTGATTTGGGCCTGTCAAAGCCCCATCCAAAACTCGGGCATTATGTGCACTTCCCTCCCAACCAGCATACATATATACAAATCGCATATCATGATCGCATACAGCTAAAACATTTTGTAATTGCACTCCGTGTCTATTAGTGTATGCCACTTGCTGTCCGCTGGGGATAGAAGTAGGTATATGTGTCCTATCAATAGCTCCGACGCAGTCCTTCAGATTCAAAATAGTAAATGGATAAGGTAATAACTAGTATATGAATGACATGTGATCTAAGTACCATTATTATGGCCTAAAAAATAATCTAATAAATATATGTGAAGTCCCATAAAACAAACAAAAAAAAGGCGATGGCAAACTTCCAAGTACAAGACAATTTGCCACTTTTAATGTCCCTGATAGGAATTAGTACGGTGATGTGTCATCTTATTCATCTGCGGGACAAGACTTGTATTTCAATTGTTAGATGAAATTTGAAAAGAAACGGATTTTGATCCCAAGGTATGATTCTAACGCAATCTATAGTATTCCAACTGTGATGCATGATGAACTGTAAAACTCACGAAATTAATAAGCAGTAGGGGGTTAAAATTTTAGAAAGTTATGGCAAAACAATTTTGATTTAACCGTATTTCAAACCAAGGATAAAACCTCCTGTCGTTCATAATTTTCGGATGAATTTCGTCCCGACGTCTTGGAGTATTGATGAATTGTACGAATGTGCATAGGCCCTGGATGACTTCGTGAATATTTCGATGCACTGTCTCCATCGAATAGTTAAATCGGTCAGCAATCATTTGCATTCGCATGTTGTGGCTCGTCATGGCCAATGTCATCGCCAGTGCCTCCTCTATTGTAACCCGTTTTTGATGATTTTGGGGAACAAATCCACATTCGGCCAAAAGCTGGCACAATCTCATGAAAGAATTAACAGTTAACCTTGTAGCATCCATAATTTGGGTGTGGTGACCTAACATCAATTCTTCAACCCAGTGTCGTCCTGTTAATACAGATGTCCTGCATAATACCTTCTAGATTGGACCCCCATATGGTTCTGCATTTGGCCCAAATAATAGTGTAGCGCCAGCAGTAAATAGAAGATCATCTTCGTCTGATGACGAGCTCGTTCCCTGGACATCACCAAATGCGTTCATTTGTTATTCTGCCAAAATAGATAGAATGGTGGTTTCTCGGGTGGATTACTATTTAAATGCTTGAGATTCCTATATTCACATGCTATTTTTTTCTACTATCTGTATGTGTGTTTGGATAAATTTTTTGCATCCTTTTAAAGTCCATGACCCTTCGCGTACAACTTGTCCGTTACCTAGGGGATCTTGGAGGGGTTCTTGTGATTAGGTATCAAGAGTGATTACCATTATTACTAGCTCACTTGGATCGTCTTTGGATTCCAGTACGAATGAATATATACAGCTTTGCCTATACTTGTTCGCAACCCGATTCCCATTTTATTTGTATGGTTACGATAAAGTCAACTGAGAAGGCTGTATGAGAGGTCAAATCTTAGGAAAGAAAATCTGCAGCGAGATTTGTTTTATAATCTTGTGCTACTTGTCCGAACCCATTTCTTTTTAAAAAATTTATTTTGCTTACCTTGAAGCCTGATAGAGTACTCTGATGATTTTCGCTGTAGATCAATAAATTTGCAGGAGTATTTTGGTGGTGGATACTATTTGGATAAGGGAACTGCTTTGCTGTCCATTTGAGTAGAATATCTAGAAATTTTTGCATTATTGCCTTCCACTACTGCAATCATTCTACTGCCTTCCACTATTGATTATTACTTACGCGCAGTACCAATTGGAAGGCATTTTTAACCTATTTGTTTAATTTTAACATTTAAGTAATGTCCTGTCCTTCATTATAATATTTTCACTTCTGCCACAACACGTTTTCATCCAATAAAAATTGTGAACTATGTGGACTAAAATAAAAGTCAGCATTAAAGTATAACATCAGTATCCTGCAACAAAATAATAATATATAACTATTATTATCAATTCCTCCATAAAGTGAATTAACAAGCTAACGCTTAAAAAAAAGAGGGCTATCCAAATATCAAATAGAAGACACGTTACTATTTAAATTGCATAGGTGAAGTTATTTCAAGGAATGCGGAATAAGAAACTCAACATTTCATAATTATCCAAACAAGTTTTTTGAAGGAAATACATTTAATGACAGGCCGAAAATCCCAACTCAGCTATGCCAAAATACAAACAGCACTTTCACTCAAATATTTAAAGGCCGAGCAGTTTGTCTGCCTGTAGTTGTCATGCACAGCCACTAAAATCTGAAGTCTCACCTACCTTTCATCTGGCCCCATCTGAGAGGCAATCTCCAAAAAATTCAACCAATACTCTTGAAGATCGCGAGTGAGACTCAGGAAAATCTTCCGTCACTTGTCTTCCTGGAGTTGTAAAACAGCAGTGAGCTTCCTCCCTTTGTGCACCGATTCGAACGATTCCACGACCTGAGCTGCCATAGTCACATCAAATTTCTCTTTTTCAGATTCTCTGCGACCTTTGATCTGTAGTTTTGAATTTGCTAGGGTGGAGAGCGAGTGGGCACATTCGGCGAAAGGATTGTTTGTACTTCTACTTGACTTGCTTCCATGAGATCCAGTTGGGAGCGAAGTCGTGCCCCCTGACTGCTTGATGCTCACTTAACTCCTACACTTGGAGCTTCTTTGTTGAAGTCGACATCTTGGCCTGCGTTGTACACTTCATCACCAAATTGTGAAGAGAAAATCTGCCCACCAGTATGTCCAGCTCGCTTGCGTGGATTCAAAATTGAAGGCGGTACCGAAGAAGCTTGAGCCTGATTCCCTGTAGCGGTTTCTCCTTCTAAGACCTCAAACAGGATAGCATATTTGTCGATACATTGGAAATATCTAAAGTTCCTATAATCTTGGTTCTCCTGTTGGAAAGCGACAACAAGGAAGGTGAAATATGTCATCATTCACAATGACAAAATATTAAGTGCGAGGACAAATATAACCCAAAAGCCCACGGGGGATATTTTATGGCCAAGTGTATTCAGTTATGCACTGTATAGGCCCCGGAAGTAAAATACTTTGAACAATTCCTTCTACTTGATTTGCACATTTGCTGTTACCTTATAATATTGTAAATGGGTCATCTTTGATAACAAGAGACAGATTAGGTGCTGATGGATATTTCAAAACTTCCCTAACTGTCCAACTATAACTAATGTTCATGCTATAAGATGCTAAGGCCAAAGACAAATAAACAAGTAATGGTTCATGCAGTAGTAATTATACGTTACAGGTTAAAGAAACAGGAATATTCCACAGTACATGGTAAGACGAAATACTGCCATAGCAAGTTACATGACTGGAACTGAATTTAAGTTATTTGAGATGTTACTATTTGCAAATTGTTCCATTGAGAATCTTCAGCCAAGAAGCATCTCCTATTCTTGTTCCCAACCAATACCAGTTTCGAACGTTTGTCACAGACTCTTTAACTTGGCAAAGGCACTCCAAATCTTGTTCAAGAATTTAGAATGGTACACTGTCCAACTATGTTGCTTTCCCCAGGTCAAATTTAGGTGGGAAGCAAGTTTCATCCAATTGGCATCTGATGCAATGTTTGGATTCCACTCCCCACTCTTTTTCCATTCGACATATGTCATACAGAAGTGTATTTCCATGTTTTCATCTCAATGTGCCTTTGCAATGGTGTGGTCTCGTGGCATCTATATAAGAAACAAAAAGGACTTGCATTATTAAAATTTGGTTTATCAAAGAAGAACCAGATTACAACACTTGGGGAATAACAACCAAATAAAATCTAGTTTATCAAAGTGTTTGCACCCCATAAGCACCGAAACAGAAATATTTTTAATGACAGTAGATTCCCTTCCTTTAATGGTCAAGAGCCTTGTAGACATGAATCTAAGGAATTATAACACACATCGTCACCTTTCACATGCTATTTTTCACTGAGAAGTTGGTGTTGTGTGTGAGAAATTTCCCAGATTAGGGGTTGGATCACTATCAAGCAATCTACTTTATTGTTAGCTAGCCATCCATTCCTTAACCCAATAATAACTAATTTCTTTTATAACTTGCTGTCAATTCTTGGTGGGGTAGATCACTGGCACAAAGTATCTCTAGTTTGATGTTTTTTATTGGGACTAAGTGATAAGAATCAACAGGCCAAAAACTCAAGCCACATGTATGCTACCAAGTTTGAAATCAGGTATAGTGTCACAGTATAGAGTACAGGGGATTACACAATATTTCATTAGTTATCGGTCTATAGGCATTGAATGGCAAATCTGGTACAACAAGCAAATATAAGTAAATAGTAAATTAATTGTGGCATGAAGGAATCTTCACATTTGAGGAAGATGCATTAAAAATCAAACAACAATGGCCATTTGTATGGATATATTGGGGATTTACTCTAAAGTAGTTGACAAGGGACTGGATGTAGTCGTTCGAGTCTGTGACGGAGTGGACGGATGAAGCTTCGGAAAGACGGGGTGGAGTAGTAGGACCGGACAGTGATCTCCTCCGCTTGTTGGGTATTTACTAGTGCTCTACCTTCAACAGCAGGTCATGCTGAGCCAGACCTCAGACCAGTACCTGCGGCAAATATTTTGATTTCTAACGGCCAGCTATTTGCATTTGAGAATGCAGGTAATTTTTGAGAGACCTAATGCCTAAATCGTGGATTTGTTACTACTCTGCAGGAAATACAAATTATCCATAAAGTGGACTAGACGAAGCAGCAAGCCTATTTTATCCAAGTCAAATTCATGTACTGGATGCCAAATGCACAACTGCCAATTATAACATGCAACAATTGGATTACCATACTCATTTCTTTCAGTACATATCATGCCCTTCCTCGAACTTGCACTCCACTTTAATTGAGTTTACCAGTAGTTTATCAATTTTCTTGAAATCCCTTTTCTTTACAAATAAGAAACTCGAAACAAAGAAAATTGCATAGCGAAAGAAATAAAATAGTATATAATGAGGAAATATGGCATCACCAAAATCTTTTTTCACATACTAATGCTCAAGAATCACCAAGCAAATCTCATAATTAACCTTCTCATGCCATGATGATGAATCCAGATTGGGAACAGAAGATGGGGAATCAATCATCAAATATCAAATTTGACCATGCTATTAGGATAGAGCAAAGTTAATTAGATCCAATTAGTGGTGCATTATCATGAGCCGACAGCCAACAACCACAGCAATTATACATAGAATTTCATCATCATAGCCTATAATTTAACTGATCTAAAGTAAAGAAACAGAAGCCGTCAAAGGAAGAAAGACTTTTCATAACCTAACGATTTAATAAATACAAGAATTCCACTCATATCAGACAGCTAAGCCCAGCACGGATTTGGATCTACAAAGAACGGTTTACCAATTTGACGGCCGCAAATTAATTTCAATCATTGATTTGAGCTACCGCTAATAGTATAGGCAAAAGAATGTGCTATGGGCGGTTAAGAAAGAGGTCCGACTAACCTGAATTGCAAATTGTTTTCCAAATTCGGACAGGAAAAGATAACACCCTCTAAATTAGCTGCCAACGGTCAGTTAATAGCATTGAATTTGGCCTTAAGCAAGCTCCAAATCAGGAAATCTTATTTCAGCATGCACTGCTTCACCATTGAAACCGGCGCACTGATGGAAACCCAGATGCCAAACTGAGGCGAATCTAACTTTGACTGCTTCAGCACTTCATACTTTGGCAGGCGCACTGTTGTTGCCTCTTATCGTTCAGAGCAGAAATTGAATTTTTGTGAGGTGAATGTTTGCAGGAGGAGAACGAGGTATAAGGAGGTTGTGCATAACAAAAATGGCAAACGGTGGAATGGGTTTTCTTTTTGTGAATAATCAATACTTAGCTATGCCAATGGAAGGAAATGTGCCGACATCGCATGGGTGTCTGGCCCTGATGCCCTTGATGGGATATTATTTTCACTTTTCTGACAGTTTCACGTGATGGAGGAATTGCACCGTACTTTAAAACATTGGTGGGGTCACCCAACAAATGTTTTTCTTTGACCCACCACAAGTCTTCAAGTATGGCAAACTGAAGTGTCCAAACAAGGTTTTCAAAACTTGTTTTGCACCACTAAATTAGATAAACCAAATTTCCAGTCCAAACAAACTCAATCTTTTCTTTACTCTACTAAAAGCACGAGTTGGAGTTGCTACGGTGTGCATGGACCCGTTATCCTGTAATTTCGAGCAACTTTGAGGGCATTTTAGATGAAGCAGTGGAAAGTTTTCTGGTTTCTTATATTAGTCACTGGATCATGTAGTGCTACAATCTTGGCCATTCAATTTGCCCAATGTTTGGCCTACATTGGGAGACAGATATGAGAAAACAAACAAAAGCACTATTTCAATACTTGACCATGGCTCATCTTTTTCCTCACTTCACTATTCTGAATCTTATCTCCTCTTCCCTACCAATTAACTCACAAATTTTGCCTTTCACAAAAAAAAAAAAAAAAAATTACACTCACACGCACATACAAAAACATCTTGGGACCTTACCAATTAGGTTGAAATAATTGGGTTAGTTGAATTTCTTCTCCAAGAATCTCCAAGAAACAACTTTCTTCTTGTAGTTATTTGGAATTTTCAAATACTTAGACTAACAGCAAATTAGTATTATTAAGAAGTTTGGTGTTGTAAATTTCCATGACTAATAGTTGTAAATTTTGTTTATGTCATTTGAGCTACAACATAAATGACTGATTCCCCCTCCCTCAATTCCTATGATTTTCTTTGCGGTTTCTTGCTTTAGGATATATCCTAGCATCATGTTGATGCAATTAAGAGTTTTATGTGGTCATTATAAATAATCAATTCTTCTTAAATAATCTAAACAACGATAGCAATTTGAATGGATTTCAAATCTTTCATCAAATTCCTCAATTCGAATGAAGCTAAGAGATTAGCAGGTTACTTTTTTTGTCTTGCAAGTTTTCATACTGAAACACTAGAATTAGAAACGAATAATCAGTACCTTCGTATTTTGCATTTTTTAAAATCCTTCTGGGCACTCCATGCATTTTGCATGGCTACCAAAAACTAGTATAGAAAAATGTACCAGTGATATCAACAATATATAATATAAACACGTAATATGATAAATCTTCAACCCTATATAAATAATAAGTATGAATTAATTTCAGAAACATTCCCTAAGGTTTATATTAATGTCACCTAGTATTCTTGAAGTTTTAGAAATCTTACAAAGCTCCCCTTGAATGACAATTTGTATAACATTATGTCACCACTTATATGTAAAAGTAATATTAGAAAATGCATTGGAGGAGAGAGATTATATCATTTTTTTACTTTTACCATTGTTCAATTTGATTTATGAAATTTGAAATGTAAAACAAGACAAATAAGATGGAATATTAAATTTAGAATATGAGAAGGTGTAAGTGCAATAAGTAATATATTTAACCGTTTCATAACTTGCTAACACTATTATATACAAGCGCAATACAAGCGTAACTTTTACAGTTACTTTAACATTATAAAAAGACAAAAGTTTCAAGAGATTGGTGGCAACAAGAAGGAAATTAAGAGTAAAGATTATTTAGTAAAGAGACACAAAAGTTTTGCTGCAAAGAGGGAAATTAGAATGAAAATTTTAGAAAATCAATTGTGGCAAAGACGAATATTAAAAGCAAAGATTTTGCAACAAAGAGGGAGAAGAATATTGTAAATGTCATTGTTGTTATTTGTTTTTAAATATTTTAGCTTGTAGGATTTTTTTTTTTAGTCAAAATCTTTTCTCAACCTTTTGCTACTTAAAAAAAAGGGATAATTTCAGATACCTCCCCTGAGGTTTCTGACAGTTTCACTCCCCTCCCCTGTGGTTTCAATAATACCACAAACCTCCCTTAAAACTAGATAGGCAATGCCAAAATAAGCCCAATTTAAAAATACAAACAATAAAAAATTAGTAGCTGGAGAGAGAAACAAGTGTATACCACAAATGCCCTCATTATCTTGCATTAATGAACTAATCTCATGTGAAGAAAAAACAGGGAATTTAAGAAGAATGAAACTTGAGGGGGTGTAAGTGAGACCAATGCATTCATTAAGGTCTGAACGTTAGTAGTGAACAAAATGGAAGGCAACGGCTCTTTCTGGCAGAGCATGTTGTTTTGTCAAGCGAGCACATAATTGAAGAACGGCCTGCATAACCAAAGCTGGTACATGCTGTTTTATCAATACATTACCACAATCTTCCATCGTCAAAAAGCCTGTAGGTTTTCCAAATGTTTTCTCAAAGATGGTGCTACTTTCTTTATCCTGCAAAAGAGGAGTGGATTTTTTCTCAGCAACATCTTCCAGAACTGGAGATGCAACATGTTCCTCTGATGAGTCAGGTATTAGTCCTGCTGCAGTCTCTTCTGTACTTTCACGAGAGATTTTGGGCCTGGATTGCAACAAATTATCTAGGATTAGAAGTAAGGCACTAATACATTTCGGGCTCAAAATCTCATTTCCTGCAGTAGTCCTTGCTTTGAAGTTCATCAAGATATCAATTGCCAATGGGACAATGCCACTCTGCACAGCAATTTGTCGAGCATTTTCAGCTCCAGATAAAATCAATGCTAAAGTATGTGAAACCATGCACAATGCACTATTATCCTCTGAGAATTCCATGGGGCATTGCTGTAGCTGCTTTACAAGATAAGGAATCACCCGATCACGGTCTTCTCCTTTGTTCCTATTGCAAAGAGTCACAAGCAAATCTGTCAACTGGAAAGCCATTGAATCACTACTGTGAAACAACTTCATTGTTGCAGCAAGGATGTCATCAACAGAAGGGGTCTTAATTTGTTCCTCTTCTGCCAAAACATCCACTGATTTTTCAGTGTTATCGACTTTAGATGCTTATGAGGAATTTCCTAGAGATAAAGCAAGTGCACGAGCCAATTCATCATCCTCCAGCACAGGATCTTCAGCATGACTATTTAACCATTCCATAGCCATTTCGACACTATTAGTTTCCATTCTTCTTAATGCCTCCTCAGCTCTTGCTCTTGAGAACCCCATCTTAACAATGGTAGCAATGGTAGCTTCATCAGGTGGTGGAGCCACCAAACGTTGGTTTGTATTCCCTAACAACCCACTACGATTTTGTTTAACATCAGCAACACCAGAATATACATGAGTGATTAGTGAAATAATAGAAGTTATAAAAACTGGATTACAATTTGGAAACAAAGGGTGATTCCAGATGGGAACTATCGCATCCAGAACCTGAGACTGCATCATACGAACAAACACTTCAGGGTCCTTAGGAACAGGAAACAACCCAATAGACAGACCAACTGCAACAGGTTGCACAAGCAGCTGTGCCTGGGATGCTGAGGTTGGAGACAACAGCAAAGAAGAATTGATAAAATATTCAAGAAGGCGACAATAACTCTACAATGTATCAAGCAGCCATGAACTGTGAGACAATTTACCTTCCTCCGGTAAGACAATCATAAAAAGTTACAAGTAACTCTTGGGATCTACCTTAGCCACTCTTACTTTTCTTCCCATAAAATGGAGCACAATATCATGAACATCAGTGATAACCATCCTACAATAGACAATCAAAAGCTACTGAAGTTACTGAAGTTACAATATTAGTTATTGAAGTTACAGAAAATATTAGCTACAATATTAACCATCTTGCAACATTGGTTGCTGAAGTTACAGAGCAAGCATAAGCTTTCTAAGTACTGAGGTTTGGCATCTAACTATATCAAACAACCCCAGTCAGACGAGAAATTTAGAATCAAGTAAGCATAATTTGGTAGAGGCTTAGCAAACCAAGTCACATGACAAACCAGAAAATCATAAGCAAACATGTATCAAGCTTACACAAACAACAGCCAAATCATCACAAGCTGCCAATATCATATTGAAACAGAGTATGAAATCTTAAACACTTACCTGGTAAATTTTTCTTAATGAGCTAAGAGACTCTTCAGCTTGTTTGCCAAGACCTTTGTTTGCCAAGAGCTTTCTTAACGAGAATCAAGAGCTTTGTTTGCCAACCATCAACCTCAGTTGCTATATCTCAACAATGGCGGGAACAAAGTAAGTTTCTTGCTTCTATATGTACCGTGCCTATCAAGCTGTTATGTCAATCAGACCATGGCGCCTAAGTTTGGTGCCATTTTGCTGAAGGCCCCTTTCTATATTGCTTGTTAGGACTCTAATTTTTCGTTAATTACATTAATTGTGTTTATAACTAACTTAACTAAATTTTTCCAGATAATCACGAAATATTAGCAAACTTGTGAGGGTATTTAAGTCTTTTTGGCACCAATGACTTAAGAAATGGGACCTCACAATCTGACAAGGGAGGTTTGTGGTATTATTGAAACCACAGGGGAAGGGAGTGAAACTGTCAGAAACCTCAAGGGAGGTATCTGAAATTATCCCAAAAAAAAAATAGGAAAACATAAGATGTAACTTTGTCATTTCAATGCCTCTAATCAAGACGTCAAATCCCATCACATTAATAGGAGAGCTTAGTGAGATTTTCGGGACTTCCAGTGTGCCAGACGACATTAGGATGAACCTCGGGGCAAATTTCTGAAATTAACCCTCATAAATATCTTTACCTTTTCTTCCATTATTATCGCCAATTTAAATGACTACAGGGGCACTCCGGATAAAATACCATTGCAGCAGGAAGTAAATACTGAAATCCCATTGCAGGCAGCAGGAAGATTGGTTTGGTGTTTGGATTGCCGGGGAGGGAATATGGCAGCCTGCGCAGGATTGCCAACTAACGCTACTATTGCTTCAGCAGCACCATTGCAGCAGCAAATCTCCAACTCCTCCATAAAGAAGCTACCCAATAAACCTTCCTCCCCTGTTTCTGTTTCTGTTTCTCTTTGCTCTTGCTCTTCCTCTTCTAGGTGTTGTACAACTAGGAGTTGTACCACTACCACCACTGAAGAAACTTGTTCGAACCAGAAATTTAGTTACAGCAGAGCCTCCCCATCCCTCAGATGGCCCCACCTCAAATTCCCAGAAACTCACCACCTCCACCACCATTCCTCTTTCCCCCAACCGCCCTCTCCCACTACTTCTGCTGTAAATTTGGTAGGGGAGATCAAGGGTGGTAGAGCTGAAAGTGCTGACAGAGAAGAAGAGACAATTTTGTTGAGAGGGAATGGGGAGGAGGAAGAGGAAGAAGAGGCGTTGCGTTGGCCTAGGCCTACTAGGAAAGCAGCTAAGAAAATGAACAAACTGGCGTTAAAGAGGGCTAAAGATTGGCGGAAGAGGGTTCAATTCTTGACTGATAGGATTTTGGGTTTGAAGCCCGAGGAGTTTGTTGCTGACGTGCTTGATGAGAAGATGGTTCAGATGACTCCTACGGATTTTTGTTTTGTCGTCAAGTGGGTCGGGCAGACCAGTTGGCAGAGGGCACTGGAGGTCTATGAATGGCTGAATCTTCGCCATTGGTACTCCCCTAATCCCCGCATGCTTGCCACCGTGCTCGGTGTGCTTGGTAAGGCCAACCAGGAAGCGCTGGCCGTCGAGATTTTCACTCGGGCGGAGCCTGGGGTTGCTGCCACTGTCCAAGTGTATAACGCCATGATGGGTGTTCATGCCCGGAATGGGCAGTTTACTAGTGTTCGGCAGCTGCTTGACTTGATGCGCCAACGGGGCTGTGAGCCAGACCTCGTCAGTTTCAATACTCTGATCAATGCACGTTTGAAAGCTGAGCCTTTGTCGCCAAATTTGGCAATTCAACTCCTGAATGAAGTCAGGAGCTCAAAGATTCGACCTGATGTCATCACTTACAACACTCTTCTCAGTGCTTGTTCACGCGACTCCAATTTGGAGGAGGCCATGAAGGTTTTCGATGACATGGAAGTGAATAAGTGCCAGCCCGATCTTTGGACGTATAATGCCATGATTTCGGTGTTTGCCAGATGTGGACTACCTGGTGAAGCTGAACGGCTCTTCAAGGATTTGGAGTCAAAAGGGTTTTATCCTGATGTGGTCACATATAATTCTCTACTGTATGCATTTGCAAGAGAAGGTAATGTTCCGAAGGTAGACGAAATATGCAGAGAAATGGTTAAGATGGGTTTTGGAAAGGATGAGATGACTTTAAATACTATCATCAACATGTATGGGAAAAATGGTCAGGTTGGCCTCGCGTTGCAACTGTACAGAGACATGAAAACAGCAGGTCGGAATCCTGATGTAGTTACGTATACTGTTCTCATTGACTCGCTTGGAAAAGCAAATAAGATTACAGAGGCTGCACAGGTCATGTCAGAAATGCTTAATGCTGGTGTTAAGCCAACTGTCCGTACTTACAGCGCTTTAATCTGTGGCTATGCAAAAGCTGGGAAGAGAATGAATGCTGAGGAGATGTTTAATTGCATGCTTCGTTCTGGAATCAAGCCTGATAGGTTGGCTTATTCTGTCATGTTGGACATCCATTTAAGGTCTAATGAAACCAAGAAGGCAATGATGTTGTATCGGGAAATGGTTGATGATGGATTCTTGCCAGATCTTTCCCTTTACGAGGTTATGCTCCGAGTCCTTGGAAGAGAAAAAAAATCTGAAAGTATAGAGAAATTAATTAAGGATCTGGAGGAGTTACATGAACTGAGTCCACATATAATTTCCTCTATACTTACAAAGGGTGAGTGTTATGATTTTGCTGCTGAGATGTTGAGATTAGCCATTGCAAAGGGATATAGTTTGGACAATGAGAACTTGTTATCTATCTTGAGTTCTTATAGTTCATCTGGGAGGCACTTAGAGGCAATTGAATTGCTAAATTTTCTAAAAGAACATCCTTCTGGATCTGACAGATTCATATCTGAAGCCCTCGTTGTTATCTTCTGCAAGGCTAATCAAATGCATGCTGCTTTGAAGGAATACCATGAACTCCGTGAATTCAGTTTTTTTTCTGGAAGCTTTACCATGTATGATGCCCTCATCAAGTGCTGTGTGGAGAGTGAACACTTTGCTGAAGCTTCACAAATTTTCTCTGACATGAGATTTAATGCACTGGAGCCTTCTTGGGATATTTATAGAATCATGGCAACTAGTTATTGTAGACTTGGCTTCCCGGAGACTGGTCATTTTTTGGTTGATCAGGCTGAAGCAAGAGGCATTGCTGTTCATGACATATCCACTTATATTGGTCTGATTGAGGGTTATGGTAGGTTGAAGTTATTGGAAAAAGCAGAGAGCATTGTTGGAAGTCTAAAAAAACAATGTAGTGTAGTGGACCGGAAGGCTTGGAATGCATTAATACAAGCTTATGCTGCAAGTGGTTTCTATGAGAAAGCAAGAGCAGCATTCAATACAATGATGAGAGATGGTCCTTCCCCAACAGTAGAAACCATTAATGGCCTTCTGCAAGCATTGATAGTTGATGACAGATTGAACGAGCTTTATGTTGTAATACAGGAGCTGCAAGATATGGGCTTCAAAATTAGTAAAAGTTCTATTATTTTGATGCTTGATGCTTTTGCTCGAGCAGGAAACATATTTGAAGTGAAGAAGATATACCATGGAATGAAAGCTGCAGGATATTTTCCGACCATGCATCTCTACAGGGTTATGATAGAGTTGTTGTGTGGTGGAAAACAGGTAAGAGATGTTGAAGCTATGGTTTCAGAAATGCAGGAAGCGGGATTCAAGCCTGATATATCCATAAGGAATTCAATGCTGAAGTTGTACACAAAGATTGAAGATTTTAAGAAAACAGTTCAAGTATTCCAGCAAATTCAAGAAGCTGGACTGGAAGCAGATGAGGATACATACAGTACTCTGATACTAATGTACTGTAGGGATCATAGGCCAGAAGAGGGGCTTTCTTTGGTGCGTGAAATGATGCAGTTAGGTCTGGAACCAAATCTGGATACCTACAAAAGCTTGATTGCAGCGTTTTGTAAACAGCTGATGCTGGAACAAGCTGAGGAGCTCTTTGAAAGACTCAGGTCAGGAGGGCATAAACTGAATCGTTCTTTTTATCATTTAATGATGAAGATGTACAGAAACTCTGGAAATCATTCTAAAGCTGAAAAGCTGATGGTTGTGATGAAGGAATCCGGAGTGGAACCAACCATCGCTACAATGCATTTGCTTATGACTTCTTATGGCAGCTCTGGCCAGCCGATGGAAGCTGAAAAAGTTCTTAACGATTTAAAATTAACGGGTTTAACTCTTGGTACACTGCCATATTGTTCCGTCATTGAGGCTTATCTCAAGAATGGAGATCGTGATATTGCCATTCAAAAGCTCCTGGAGATGAGAGCAGAAGGTCTGGAACCAAATCACATGATATGGACTTGCTTTATTCGAGCTGCAAGTATGTGTCACAGTACTTCTGAGGCTATAATACTATTAAATGCCATTGCTGACGCTGGGTTTGATCTCCCACTAAGGTACACCAGTTTTTATTGCTTATTCTTCTTTATATTGTTGTTGGGACAAGATGATATTGGGGTGGCTTCTTTATAGAATTTGTCCATATTAAAAAATAACAGTGGTTTATTTTTTAGGTTTCTTAGAAATAGTTCAGAGTTATTGGTATTAGAGATGGATCGCTATCTTGCAGAATTAGAGCCATTGGAAGATAATGCTGCATTTAATTTTGTAAATGCTTTGGACGACCTATTGTGGGCTTTCGAACTTCGGGCCACTGCATCATGGATTTTCCAATTGGCAATCAAGAGAAACATTTATCCGCATGACATATTCAGGTAATGCTGATATGAGCTGTATATATACATGGTACTACGTTTTTTGAGAGCTTTCATGTTCATCTAGGTTAGAGAACGAGGAGATGTGTTTTTGCCTGTGGATGAGCCTCAGTTGATATGTTCCCCAGGAAACTCAAAATCATGTAAAACTTGATAAAGTTACCGTGTTTGATCACCAGATCCCCATATATTAAGTGAATCTGTGGGTTTTCTTTCCTGTTTCTGTTGATAACTAAATGAAAACTTGTGATCCTGAAAGCAGACCTTTGTTGAGGTCCTAATCACTTTCATGGTAACAGATGAGGAGAATTACACAACCTAAAACTCCACATTCATGTTAGTGATTGGTTTGTGCTTCAAATGAAACATTAATTGGCAGTTAAGTGCTTTAGGCTTCCCTTTATGTTCATACAGTCTTGCTCATTTGCATACATGATTCTGCAGGGTGGCTGACAAGGACTGGGGGGCTGACTTTAGAAAGTTATCGGCTGGTGCTGCTCTTGTCGGCTTAACATTATGGCTTGACCACATGCAGGAAAGTTTCTCTCTCGTTAATATCTACTCCGGTCTTAATCGAAAAGTTTCTTTGCTTGTGTTAGATTAGCCTCTATCATTGTTACTACGTCTTTGAGTCTCATGTAGATTATAGTTCTGCAGGATGCTTCATTGGAGGGTGTCCCAGAATCTCCAAAATCTGTGGTGCTGATAACAGGTGCATCAGATTACAATCATGTCTCACTGAACAGCACAGTGAAGGCATACCTATGGGAAATGGGATCTCCATTTTTGCCTTGTAAAACTCGGAGTGGTCTCCTAGTTGCAAAAGCTCATTCCTTGAGGATGTGGTTGAAGGATTCTCCATTTTGCCTGGACCTCGAGTTGAAAAACAACTCAACCCTCCCAGAGACAAACTCTATGCAGCTAATTGAAGGATGTTATATTAGAAAGGGCCTTGTTCCTGCTTTTAAGGACATAAAGGAGAGGCTTGGCCCAGTGAGACCTAAGATGTTTTCACGGCTGGTTTTGCTGCCAGACGAGAAAAGAGATAGGGTAATCCGAGCTGATATAGAAGGGAGGAAGAAAAAGTTGATCAAATTTGGAAAAGCTAGGGCTGTTGGGAGGAAGAGTGTGCAATTCAAGAAAAGGAAGTTTGTAAGGAGTTCTAAGCCATCAAACTCGGGAATGTGAGATCAAATAGGGCTGGCTTGCAGTTTTGACTGCCAAAGAAAGTCAAGCCTGTTTCCAAGTAAATTTCAGCGCGAATGTTGTCCTGAAATTTGTTTTCTTTGCATGTTGTCCTGATGGGAAAGAAAATCTTTACTACTATAAAGACAGGAGTTTCCAAATGACGAATCAAATTGAAGATGACAATTCAATTTCATCCTGTTTACTAATTTTGGAATTCTGTAGTTAATTTTGGTGGCAGAAAAGTAATTTCAGCGGTCTTAGTGTCTTCCAGAACTCCCCAATTCTCCAACTGTCTCCATCCCTTCTCTCTCTTTGTCGCTCTCATTCTCTATGAACCGCCCCTGCCGTCCATCCCAATCTCTTTCGGCTTTCTCGTCTTCTGTCTATACAGAAAATTCAAATTCAGCAATGGCAGTTGGTGATAAGGGATAATTGTGACTTGTGAGGTAGGTCTTTGGTCTTTTCTGCCCCGCAATTTGTCCCTGGATGGCCAAGAGAACCCCGACTAGAGAGCTGGGACTTGGAGGATGTGAATTTAGTTTTGCATAGCCCATTTGTCCTTGCCATCTGTGTCATCCTCACCGGCTTCCTTTCTGTGCAAGATTTTCATAGAATACACTTGAGGGTAATTAGTTTGGCACCATTTTTCTGAATATTTTGATACTTGGTAGTTAAATTTGCCATATCCTGAGCGAATATTTCCGGCTTCTCGCTCGTTGCCAAGATTTGAGGTTTTTTCTTGTGAAATTGTTGTCTATTTAGTACTTTGGGATGGTTTAAATGGTAATTATGTTCTCTTGGTTCATAAATAATTGTCCTTCCTAATTTACTCTACTTCCTTTGAATTTTGCTTGTGTACTAGTTGATTCAATAGTTGTGAAGTGAATGTAGCAAGATGGTCGTATGCCCAGCTTATTTATGGGGAACACCATCAGCGGTGATGACTTTGACAAATTCAAGAAGGTACAGGTATTCCAATCATGTGGTCTTTTCTGGCCCTCTTCCATATCACTTGATATTATGAAACTCTGGATGGTAAATCATGATTTTCGATGTGTAAAGTTTTCTGCGATTCTCCTCTTGTCATGTATACAATTAAGCATAATGCCTCTCATTGTTTCCTACCTAATTTATGCCACTTTTGTCATAGAGTACACTACTTTGTGCTGCAGTGGATTTGGCAAATTGTCAAGTTTGAAGAAAACTAATAGTAGTGAAGCAAAATGATTAAGTTGAAAATACTCGATAAATGAACAAATGAGAATATTTACCTTATACTTCTAAAATGATTGTGCCACTTCATTGCCTGAAGTTTTGAATTTTGATTGGTACTTTTGGTTGCTTTTATGATTGTTTGTTCTACTTCACTGCCTGAAGTTTTCAATTTGATTTTTTCTTGGGGTTGCTTTTGTGATTGTTCATTCTTTGTATAGAGATTACTTTTTATTAATTTGAGTTGTTTATCAATTTTTAGTGAGAGCCTTCTGTAATGTTGGAACATTTGAATGAAGAACAGCTGAACCTTGAAGTTGATTGGTGAGTTTGTCTTTGTTTTGCTGTGTTCTGCTTTTTATGACTGTTTATGCGTAGTATAGAAATATCTTTTTTCCCATCTGTGTATTATTTGTTCACCATTACCAGCTCAAATTTCATATCAGTTTTTCATTGAAATCACTATTAAACAGTGCAGTTGTCGCTCATTAATTAGTTCTTGAAGGAGAAAATCTCCCTTTTGAATTTGTCATGGGTTACTGAATTCCCCAGTGCCTATTCTTTCATCTGGTTATGAGCACGATTTGGCTTTTTATATGATCACAGGTTGTTCCTCAACTCCATTTATGAATAGTATCACTCTACATTTTCTTCTGGTCTTGTGATGAATTTTGGCAAAAAGTAGTAAAGAAATGAGAACTTGAAGAATTAGTTCCTGGAGTCTTTATGACTCTAATCCATCTTAATCTGTCAATGGATTCCGTTGTCTTTTCTACATCACATCCTATTATAATAGTCTGCTATTCAACATGAGTGTATAAAGAGCTAACAGCCCTTGCCACATTGGATTTTCGTTGTCGAGTCACGTGTCTTCGCTCGATGCATGGGCGTTGTAGCCAAAATCTAAGGCCTCTTCTAGTTTGCCTCGTTTCCATCAAGATAGTAGCCTCGACATTTCCAGCTCTTCCCCCTCGTTTGCTTCTCCTCCAGAATTCGGTTCCTGATCTGCTTTCAGGCCATTTTTGCTACGATTTAGGGACCATTTGCTTACGTTAGATCAAGTTTTCGCGTCTGTAATTCACGAGTACATTTCTTCCAGGCACTAATTTGAATGACAGCAACATTTCATAGCAGCTAATCTCAAAGTTTAGGATGCTTCTCCATGCTTGTGATTCTTACTTCCTTTTTCATTTTTTTTATAGGGGATTTTCGGGGACGCTGGCTTGCTATGGTCGGACTATCATTGTTGTTGGTAGGGAGATTTCTGCTATAATCTTTTGTGGCTGTTGTTCTATTCTCTATTTGTTTTGGATCTGATTTGGATCCTTGGTTGCCCTGATTTGGTACTTTGAGGGGTATTTGGGGGTCATCAATGTTGCTTTTGTGCTGCTATGACATTTTTCTCTTTTTTTTTTTTCATAACAGTAAGAATGTTCCTCTGCCCATTGGTACGTTGTTCTGTTCTCTTTTTGTTTTCCTCTGAATATCTAACTTGTTTGGAGCTTGTGTTTGCTTTGGTCTTGTAGTGGGTGGGGTTTTCTATTATTATTATATTTTTTTAATGAAGTCCATTTCTTATTTTTTTTCAGAAGTTTTCTTTTTGACCTTTTTACCATTTTTTTCTTGGCATTGGATCAGGTCACAAGATTTTTATCTTTTTACCTTGGCTGATATGAACTGAAGCCTTGATTGTACTGTTTTTCTACCTTTGTTTTGGGTCAGACGGGATAAAGTATCTTGTTTCTGCCACTAATGTACAGTTTTCTTGTTTAGTTATTTGGATTTTCATGTGCTTGGTTTCTTTTTTTTTTTTTCCGCTGCTCACTTTGGCTCTTACTGTTTTGCGTTTTGCATGTGTTAGAAAGTAATTTCTTGTATGTGATGTAATTTTTACAGTTTGTGCTCACCAAATTGACAGACTTCGTGGATGTATTAGATATGGTTCTAAAAGCTTTTCTAAAGTGTAACTCTTTAATAAACTTAAAAATGTTTTAGTCTTGAGGTATACTGAGGAATGGAATACATTATTGTGATTAAGAAGGTGCTTACCTTTAATATGAATTTTTTGATAATTTTGGGAGGTGAATATTATTTGTGGAATTTAGGCCATATGCTTGGGTAAAATGTGTAACTGGAGAACCAATGTTTCTAAACCAACTCATTGAAGGAAGAGTAAGGCGAAGAAAGGAAAAAAAAAAAAAGAATTAGACAGCACCATGCGTCTATGCTGGCGCAGATCTAAGCTTTATTTTCATTTTCTTGGTGCTTATTCAGAACGTCAGTTATATTTTTTGTTTTCTTTTATTTTTTAAGCTCAAATAAGCTTATTGACCTTCTTGGAGTTTGATATTCTGCATTTAATCTGGCCAAATTCTGACCTTTTTTCTGGGTCAATGATTTTAGAGTTGGAAAGCCTTATCAAGAGTAATGATTAACTGAGGACTCAAAAACCATTTACATAGCTGGCCATATTAAATCTCCTTCACGTTCCTTTTTTTTTCTTTCTAATTTTTTAAATGATCTGAACTATCTTTCCTTCGAAATAGTCGGGTTTTGAAGCTTCAAATCCTATTAATATTCAAAGCTCTATCTTGACGTAGCCAACAACATGTTTTACCATCAGCAGCATGGCTCTTTTTGTTCCCCTTTTTTGGAGTGGTCTCTTCAGTTTTCTTTTTGGTTGTTTTCTTTATGTTATCTGTAGCAATTCTTTCCAGAATCTTTTATCCAATGTTCAAATTAAAGCTTTTTCAGTTTTTCTTCTTTTTTTTTCAATTTTTTTAAGTTGTAATTATACAGATTTCCTTTTATTTTCACCAAGATTCTGTATGATGAATTTCATTTTCCGCCAGATGATATTCCAAAGCAAAGCTTGAGCGCCTACTTTTATGAAGAATTTTAATGACCAATTTCTTTTTATTGGATAGAGCAGTTGAAGAATTTTAGTTCCCAGTTAAGAAAGAAGAAGATCTTGCATTTTGAATTTCTGTAGAGTGGTTGGAAAATTTTAGATCTCAATTAAGAAAGGAGAGGATCTCGTAGTTTGAATTTCGAAAAAAGATGAAAATATCTTTTGAGTTCTCATGTTTCAATGTAAATCTTGTCATTGAAGGATGGCTAAGAAAGTTTTCTGAAGCTCTGATGAGGCAGCTTTTGTCTGACTTGTATTCAAGAGAGAAAAAATTATGAGCATTAACTACTGAAACAGTTAGAAACAACCCACATATTGATCCATCTAAAGTTTCTACTCGGCTATTAAGAAAAGAAGAGGGAAATTTGCATTGATTTTAGGTCTGAAGATGATTAAAAATGATGGGTAAAGATTGTCTTTAGGAGCTATATGCGAATATACTTCTTTCATGTGTACTTGAGTTCATTTGTATATACAACAGAGAAATCTTCCAATGTAATCCTCATTACTTTGTATAGGCACTTTACGTGTTCAAGTATTTTGCTTTTCGTTGTGTGAAAACGATTTGTTGATGTTACTGGCTTATGTCATTACATGTTCTCTTTTAATTTTTTTAATAGATTTGACAGAAAGAAGGTACTATATGAACTAAATTTGAATTATATTTGAGTCCAGTGCCACTATCCACACAAATGCAGACTTTGTGTTTAAAAATGTACATGCAACTAACTGCCTGCCGATATATGCTGGTTGATACTGTTCGGATTCAAGTAAGAAAGTATTTGGCGATATTTTTCATGTAATCCAGTCTGATCTGATATAGTTACATATGCATTAAGCTGATGTTTTATGGCTGCATAACATTCTCACTGCACAACTTCCTGGTTGCCTCTTGTTTTTAATGTTCTTACCAATTCTTGAAAGTTGTGTTGCTTTTCCTTCTGTTGTACATGTAAAGTGTTATAGAGTTGTTGTAGTATTTTGAGTAATTGCAGCCATTAGATCTCAAATTGTGGGTCTTTTTGTTTACACAATTTCAGCAACCGGGTTCAAGATTTTTCAGAGGAGCCACAACTAGAATGAGAACTAATGCTTGTAAAACCAATGCTTGTGAAAGTTTCTGTAACACTCAAGTAAATGTATTTCTTATAGAAGCCTACTATCTTGAGATCTGAAAATTTTGTGAGCGGGTCCCTGCAGTTCTTTGTATGATTTCGCTTGAGTTTTGTTGTCAGATTGGTGGACATTTTTAGATAAAAATCATGGATGCAAGTCACTTATTGACTACTGAGGTTGTACTGAAGCACTTTTCCTGTTGCATTTGGATTACAACTTCCACTTTACATGTCTGCAAGTTTAATCTACTATACTTGCAATGACTTCATAAAGTGATGAAATTATAGATTGATGTCAGCTACATTTGGTAATTCTATGCTAGATCAATGGCACTTTCCTTTTGTGATGCTGGAAGTTGTGAGAGCATACGCCTTGCGTACAAGTAGCTGACAGATTAGCACTCGTTTCAAAGCTGATCGCTATTTGCGCATCCTTTGTTCGGCGGAAGTTCCCGAGTACGCAAATAGAAGACTCCATGAAACAAGGACTCATTCATTTATTCCGCAGTCTAGAACTTCTTTGCTGTTATTAGCTTCACCAGGAAAGGTATGGGAAATTGTATCCCTGGCATTTTAGCTTGAGAATTTAGCTTTAGTCAGATTCTGCAAACTATAAATCTTACTGGTTGAGGATTTTAAGATTTCCTGGTCTGTCTTTTGGAACCTTTATTTTTTCTGAATTTGAGGGCTAAGCTTCTGCAACTGCAATGATATGTTGGTTGATTTTCGTTTCAATCATCAGTGTTTTTTGGACTTTTATTATGTTTTCCATGCGGTAAATATCGTACTTTATATTATGGTGTTTGTGATATTCTCTCTCTAACAATTGAAATATGGTATTGAAATACAACATTTGTAAATGGCATTTTATATCTTGATGTATTCTTGTGTTAATTTGCCTTTCGATTGATCACTGGCTTCACAATGGTTCTTGATGTATTCTTGCTCTACTGGGACTGTTCTATAAGCATTGTTGCAATATTCTCTCTCTCACTTGATGTTCATATGTCCTGGCAAAAATTAAACTGGAAATCAAAGATATATGGGACTCTATATTAATATACAATAAAAATGGCTTTTTTCTTTTCTGTTTTATAAGGTTAAAATTTGCATAAAACTCAAATTAGAGCATGGCTTTATCTAAACCTGAAGAAGCCCTTCTTAAAAAAAAAAAAAAACAAAATAAGAGATCTAAAAATATGCATATTATACAAAAGAGATTTAAAAAATTCAAAATTCACTTGAAAGCCATTCCTGATTATAAGCAAACCAAACAAGTAGTTTTATAATAATACCCATTCCATTACTAAACCAAACATGTTGGGGGGAATCGTCAAAATCCATACTCATGCTACTGTTAATGATATTCATAGTGATAATGACTGAGGAATCTGAACCAAACGGCTTCTAAGGAACTATACCACCCCATGGTGACTACTGATTTTTATATTTGTTAGCTGAAATTTGTATCTGGCTCTCCATGGTTTTCCCGCCTTCAGCGTGCTTGAGTTCCCATATGAATTAGGAAGATTTGGAATGCGGTTTACTTTCTGCACTGGAAGCCCATGAATCATCTTACTATAAATGCTTTCACTATTTTGACAGCATGGAAAGATAGCAAAATCGATCCCCTGACGATGTTTATACAAGTTTTGAGTTTCGGTAGGAAATTGATGGATCTCTTAACCAGACCATAATGCAACTGAGCCTTGAGATAGCAAGTGTAGATGTCAACTTGGACTAAATCCTCTAATATTCTAGTAATTGTTAACTGACTTTTGTTGTTAAGGCATTATTTAATGAGGACAACATTTTCTATTTTTTACACGATTATATAATCACATGAACGTAGGGGTGTGCAAAATCGAAAAATTCCGATTTTCCGACCGAATTCGAATTCGATAATTCGGAATGAAAATCGGAATTTCGATTTCAAATTGGTCGAATTCGGTAACGAGATTTTTCAAATCGGAAATTCCGATTTCGAATTCACAATTCGAAATCGAAATCGAAATCAGAATTCGGAATTTCTATTTCGATTTCAAATATGTTATATATATATATATATATATATATAATTCATGAATTCGGTGAAATCGAAATTCCTATTTCGATTTCGATTTCAATTTCGTTTTCGTTTTCACACACATATATATAATATTTTATATATATGTAATATAATATTTATATAATAATAATAATAATAATAATTTTTATATTCATGAATTCGGAATTTACTGAATTCGAATTCGAATTCGAAATGAATTCGAATTCGAAATTGGTGAATTCAAAATCGAAATCGGTCGAAAATACTAATACCAAAATTTCAAAAAATTCTAATTTCAAAGTTCCTAATTACCGATTTTAATTTCAATTCACACCCCTACATGAATGTTTGACTTTTACTGAAATATCAGATGAAGTCTTGATTCTTTCTGAATGTTGCAATCTGAGAGGTTGCAGCCATCCTCAGCCTACTTACTAGTAATATCAACCTTCTCTGGTCTGTGGGTGCCCTCTTCATATTAGAATTTACTCTGATTTTGGTTCAATATATATAGATATATATATATATATATTGGGATTTTTCTATAACTAAATTTCATCAGAAGCAAGCAAATTCCATTAATGGATCCATTTTGGATTAGTACAAATAATTTCACTGAATTGGGCATCTGCATCTTTTTTCCCATCACGCATCACGCAGTTTATGCCTCGTAGTGTCATTGAATTCATTAAACTCAAAAGGATGCACTCCCAGGGGATACATTCAGTGGTCTTGTCTCATTTTGATCACACAAACAATGTTAGTTTGTTAAATCAAACTTCTAAAAATCTGCTGTGCGGAAAGTCAGATCCAACCACACTAAAGATATGAAGATTCTCTGTGACATCTAACAAGTAAATTTTCCAACCCATTGCAAGGAATAGGCAAATCAAATAGTTGGCGTGTAGCATGGTGCTTGCAAAGTTAATCGAAAGATTTACAAATATGATATAACATACTTTTGAACAAACCTCTATTTGTCTTTCAGGCACACACAACCTTTCAGCTATTGGCAATATTTATGGGTGAACCAGTATACTCGGCAAACCAACTTGGCTTGCTAAATAGACCATTAAAAAACAAACAAGCAAAGGGCAACGAGTCGCAACAATGCACCCCGAATGAAGATTTATTTCCTTTCCCAGACTGCTTTACAACTTCTATAGTTGCCATGATTAGCACATACCATAGTTGCTAATCCTTTTCACAATAATACATATTGTAAACATACCTACTTTGTGTCTCGTTGAAACATGAATACAACAATTAACAAGAAGGTTCTCACAGCTTATTGTTTACAGCTTCCTTCATCTGAAAACTCATTTGCTGAAACACGTATCACCATGGACATTAAAATCCTTAATGTATAGTCCTAAAACTCCAAAAGAAAACCAAACCAAACCTGGGCAATCTCGCGCACATCATGAGGCCTCTAATTAACTAGTTACCTGGTATAGTTTGGGTCTTACCAGGTTTCCCTTGTTGGTTTTTTATTTTTTCAATCAATGCCAAACTGAAGAATCTCAGCATTGCCAAAAATTACCCACTACCATCCTTAGGCCAATGAAACCCCAAAGCACATCCTTAACACTCAACTTACATGTCCAAAAGTCCGCGCTCATAGGTTCTAACTCAAAAGAGTAAAACTAAGGAAGAATTCTACTTGGACCCCTCCCTATGAGATCCTTTCACTCTTCTATGCTTGATTTAAGACAATTGGGTTACCTCTATCTAACTCATAAACCAAAATATAAGGACGAAAAACTCTTAAACTTAAGTTTATACTATCATATATGATCACAGAACTACCTGCATCCGAAGACTTGTAGCAATCATCGATGAAAAGGCTAGTGGGTCAAATCCTGCATTGATCGCCCAAAACGAAGGTCAAAGAGGCTGTCATTTGAGCGTTTCAGTAGTGCGAACCTAAAGACTTTGCTACTGAAGCTCTTGTCCGGCACAAGTTGATTACAAGGACATGTCAGGTACAGAAGTCAACTTCATATTACTCAATAATGAATAACCTTGTTCAACTCCCTACATTTTTTTTTTTTTTCTCATTTTTCTTATGTAGATACATGCCATGTGTGTAAAACTTATAACACATAATAATATATGCTCTCTCTCTCTCTCTCTCTCTCTCTCTCTCTCTCTCTCTCTCTCTTAATTCTTTAGCAGGAGACAAAACGTGCCTGTACTTAATTTACACCTAAATCTACGGTTTTGAAAATTAACTGGTACATCCTGACATTATCTTCCTTTACACTTTGCCATGCCATCAGCCTAAGACTTACCAACAAGCTAGGCAGTAGTAGTTTAAGTCAAGAGAAAAAATTTTCCTCAACATGAGTCCAGATTCACTAACAATTATTTTACACAGCATGGCTTTCAGCTGTTTGAAATGGCATACATACAATTCCATACAAATCGTAAGGAGGAAGGGGGAGAGTGCCCACTTTTTATCCGGTTTGAACAACTGGTTTCATAAATAAAACTGAGACTACAGAAGGATGGGGTCTTTTGGGGTTTTTTTTTTTTGGTGGGGGGGGGGGGGGGTGGGGTGGCAGGGGAATAGCTAGCTTGACATCACTATATATGGTAATACAAAACTCTCAAAGTTTAAATGAGCAACAAGTGACGAAAGCTTGCCTGCTCATCAGAAGATTTTGTTAAGGTGTATATGTACCCACACTTGAGACATACATGAGTTGCTCAAGCCTGAAAGATTAGAATATCAGTCACGTGGTTACAGGGAATGAAATTTACAGAAGCATAACAATTAACATACTTATTAAGTCATATATTCAGCCTTGCCTTTGGAGCATCAGTTAACTTCCGTCCAAATTGAGGCGGTGCTGGGCGCTTCTGCAGTAATTTGACATCCACACCAGCTCCTCTGTATCCTGATAAAGATTGATCCAAAGACGTTTAGACAAAATGAAAAACAGAAAAGGCCATCGCCTTATCTGCCACTCCCATAAGAATATTTTCCTGAATTTGTACATTCTTTGCTGCCAACTGAGATGATCAGACATCTCACAAATTACAGCTACTGAAGATGAAGCTATGTCCACACTTTGAGAACCTACTATTGATGGAGAGGTGCTACCATCAAGCAACGGACTTCTCAACTATTGGACGATAGTCAAGGATCTGGTCCAGATATCAGTGCAGTCCTCGCTTCTTGATTTGAAGAAAGACATCATTAAACCTTTTAGATATTTAAACAGCAACTTACCAAAAAAAATGATATTTAAACAGCGCATCCTTTCATCAGCAATTAACTCTGTCTTCTTGCATTTACTGACTGAGCAATTCTACTGTTGCTCCTATGTTCAATTGCATACTTCTGTTGCACTAACTTCTAGCTTCACTTTTTTTTTAAAGGACACAAGACCAAATATTTACCTGGTAAAGATGAGGAATTAGGAAGGCACTTTCCCCTATTTTTGCATTTCTTACATGATAGAGGATAAAAGTGGAACATCTACCAATGAGACAGGAAAATGAAAGGCGTTCATATAAAAAGATTCAGGACATTCAGAAAAACAGATTGATAATAAATTCAGGACATTCTACTGAAACATTATGGTCTGCCATCAGCTAAATTCAGGACATTCTACTGAAACATTATGGTCTGCCGTCAGCTTCAAACAGAAAGTGAGGCCAGTCCAAACACCAATTTATGCTATACAAACTTAAACAATGCCATAACAATTCTTCAAAAGAATCTGTACCACTACCAAAGCTATGGCCCAAAATATCTTGTAAATTTCAAAGTCAGAATGGGTTAAATTCCAAATACAAATTTTGCATGTAAAATTAATAAGCAAAACAAAAGAAGAGCTTGCTTGCTGACAACAAAGTAGACGGAATCTGACTTTGCCTGAATAGCGGTTTCGGTAAATCCAAGCTTATCAGCAGGCCAAAGTTCATCCCTAAAGAAGCTGCTTGTGTGGAGGACCTGGTCGCCAACCTTGAGCCCTGCTTTTGCAGCATACCCACCACCTTCTACTCCTGGATAGCAACCAACTTGAAATTAATAGTAGACACAATTGGCATCAGAAGAAAATTATATAGGCCAGCTTTTGACAAGAACGTAAGAGGGGAGGGGGAGGAGGACTGACCGTGATGACCACACCACCACCCAGCTTTTGACCCAAAGCTAGGTCCAGTGGTTTGTCTACTTCAACCTCAATGCTCTTTGAAGCCCCAGCAGTTCTTGCTGTAATCTCAAGACCTGTTCTCACTTCTCTGCTAGTACTAGTAGTAGTGATCTCAGCCATCAAAGAAGCGAGATGCTCCATTTGACCTCTTGAAGTGAGCACCCTTGGAAGCTAAATTTCTGCCAGCACCAACACCAGTACTATCAAAAGAGAGATACATACATACATACATACATATATATACTGAATCAGCAAAGGAGAGATACATGCAAATATTATATATGCACAGAGGGACCAAATTATAAACGGATTTCTTTGTGCGACAAAGAAGTTAAGCACAATTATGCCATGCTTTTAACTATATATACCTCAGAGTGGGAAGTTAATCGCTTTGCATTTGCAGATGGAATTGAGGAGTTGGATTTGAGGGAGAGGTTTCTCACATAAGCAGCTGAGCAAGAAGATGAAGCACCTGCTACAACAGAGGATGACATATTGGAGTGCTGCTGGGCTTTGCACTATGGGCAGCAGCCACCGATAGGACTTAGGACTTGGAACTTAGAAGAAGGGCTGGGCTGATTAGTGATAATAGCTTGCCATGTGCAGAAGATATCATGGTGTATTACTTAAAAACTCCAAATGCCTTTGTTGGAGAACCATTTCAGCAGCTTGCAGCATCTCTCTGGCCTTTCTATCTGGTGTACATCCAGCATACTCCATTTCTTTATATATACTAGGAACCTGTAAGGCAACCAAGAAAGGATAGGTTAGACCTTAGCCTGCAGTGGCAAGCTGGTAAGATGGAACAGACTATTACAGCAACTTCAGTAGCCCTAATAACTATTAAAGCAACTTGATTGTCGGCCATATTTCTGGTTAATTTTTGGTTTTCATTGATCAGTAGAAGGTACATTTTATGCAAGTTTCAGATAGGATAAAAAGAGATCTCTATGGAGAAGAATAGACCAATGGTGATGAGTACCATGAGGTCATTAACTGCAAACTTCAAGACGAGAAAACTACCTGATCAAACTTTTTAGCCCTTATAAAAGCCTTCATAAGTGTGCTGTAGGTAACTACATCAGGACAAAAACCCTACAGGATTACCAAATTATTAGCTAAAGATTTCCCAAATTAGATTACTTGAAAAAGTCAAGGGTCTTACCGTCTCTCTTATGTGGTTAAAAACTGATAGTGCCTCCAAATGCCTCCCTGCAGTGCTAAATGCGTTGAGCAGCACATTTAGCATTAAAAGGTTAAGTTCTATTCCTTCTGCTTCCATAAGCTGCAGAACCTTAATGGTCTGTTCGCATAATCCCTGCATAAGACATCAAAGCAAAAGCATTTCCTTCATAATGGCAATCACACTACCTAGACACTAGGCTATATCGGTGCATATCCCTACCTGTTGCGCATAAGCATTTGCTATGATGCAAAAAGTACTTGCTGAAAGTTTAACCCCTTCTGATCTTAGGGCGTTTATGCAATTGTCTGCATCCTGAAATCTCCCATATTGCCCATAAATATCAGCCAGAACAGCGTAGATGGCCCCACTTCTGTGGTGCCCTCTATGCTTGATATTCTCAGAAGTTTTCTTTATAACATCCCATTTCCCCTGTTCTCCCAAACGGGAAATAATGGTAATGAAAATCTTTGGATCAGGATACAGGCCTTGTTCTTGCATGCTTATGAACATATCCAGAGCATTAGACACATCCCCAAACTTGCAGTGCCACCGAATCAAAGAGTTCCAGGTGGTGATGTCCGGCATTATACCCTCCAGCTGCATTGTCTTAAAAACTTCTACTGCTTCACCTAACTCACCATATTTACAAAACGTGTCAATTATGCTGTTATAGATTTTCCTGTCTAGGGACAAACCCATACCCCGTATCTCTCCAACAATGCTTGTCGCTTTTCTCCACATGCCATTGTCCCTGTAAAGTTCAATAACTTTACTGTACACAAAAGAATTTGGATGATATCCCTCTCTCCTCATTTCAGCAATGACTAACCACGTATCCTCCAGACGTTTTGCCCGTGCATGGTACTCGAGAAGAATTTCATAGGTTTCCCTGTTTCTTTGTATTCCCAAGTCATCCAATGTAAGTAGAACCTTATCAGCGAGCCCAGACAGGCCTTTTCTCAAGAAACATCTAAGTAAGACATTAAAAGCTTTGACTCTGGGCCTGTATCCAAGACTCGTCATTTCCTGGAAGATAGCATCAGCTTCCAAGGTCCTGCCAACATTTCCGAGAGCTGTTATCAAGAGGGTGTAAGATTTCAAATTGGGACGAGAGCCCAAAGCCTCCATCTGTGAGAGCAAGGACATCGCCTCATTTACTTCTCCTGACATGCACATTTCGCAAATGGATTCATTGAAGGAAATATAAGAAAGTTCCTCCCCATCCTCCCTACCAAACGGCTGCACAAAAGTCGAGCAGTTATTGGCATCATTAGAGCACTTGGGCGGGTTGAGACAAAGTTTGCAAGTCCCAGAGCGACTAAATGGAACATTTACCACACTACTACGTGGTATCCAATTGTCACGGGAATTTTGACAAACAGCGAATAGGCATGAACGGCAACTAATAAAGGCAGCCAGGCGGGAGTTACAAGGCATCAAGCGTTGCATCTCCATCATCTGATCATCCATTCGTGTTGGTTGGTTGGGAATGTTGTGGACGATAACACTCCTCACACAGTCCACCTTCATCACTCAAATAAGGCACCGTTTGGATTGAAGGAAAGGAAGGGGATAAAATGGCGAAAAGACACCAGCTTTACTGTGTTATTGCGCGGCTCTCTTATTGGGTTAATTATAGTTTGGTCCTCCCAATTGGTCCAAAATCTCTAATTGCACCATCAAAATGAACAAGTCTCAATTTGATATATATATATAAGTCTCAGTTTGATAATTTGAATTAGTAAATATCTCAATCGGATCCTACAATCTAAGAAAGCGACATTTTTGTTATCTAAAGGATCACTTGCTTGTGTGACGTGCAAAAAAGCACAGAATGATGATTCTTTGGCAGTTACCAATTATCTGTAATTACTTTGGTAATTATTACTTCATCAATATATACAAGGATGACAATTGATCAAAAAGAGGGGAAGGAATTACATAAAGTCTCAATTTGATCCTCTAAAATAATAAATGGTTTCAACTTTGTTGTTCAAACCCAATAACTATAGAACAAATCAAACTATAAGAACAAAATTTATAAACGATTATTTTATCATTCTACTAATATATGTCTCTGTTATTGATTTCAATCAAGTACATTCTTTTTTTTTTTTTTGAGATAAAGTAGTGCACTTTTTTTTGATGAACCCTGTAAATAGCTTTATATAAAAATCAAAGGATAGCCAGCAAAAGATTGTACTTTTATCAGCAAGAAATTATGGCACGGGGGTATGCAATAAGCATAATGGCTTCGTCTAGTTTCTTCTTTTTTTTTTTAGTTGAAATCTTTGTATGATGAGCTTATTGGTAATGTTTTCAAGAAAGTAGCCTTGAAAGGTCAAGTTATAAAAATTTTCTTAATTTGGGAGGGGTAAATTGAGAAAATTTTAATTTATAGGACCAAATTGAGAAATTTTGTGACTTGGGAATAGCAAAATTGGCCTGGTCTGGAAAGCAATTTCTCCAAAACATTTTTACATTTGTCGTTAATATATTTTTCAATCACTTTTTTATTTCATGTACATCAAATTGAGATTCAGATATTTTACCTCTAGACCATGGTAAAAATATATTTTCTAGAAAAATCTATTGTAGAGTAGGTATTCCATTTAGATTGACTGACAATTCATCATAATTTGACGTCATTGTCGAGAATTGCTGCCTAATTTGATTTATTTCTTTCTTTTTGAATTTTTGGCTGGCTTATGCCTTATTCTTCTCATATATGTGAACTGGTATATATTCTTGAAATTAAGAAGACTGTGCGTTGGCTTAGGAAGAAAACTAGGAAAAGAAGAGAGGAGCTGTCATCTACTTTAGGATTAAACTTAGCTATTAAATTGCCTAATTCTTCTAGTGATTATTTCAATAATCAAAGATAGAAGAAACTATAGCTAATAATAGGACATTAAAGGAGTTAGATGTCCCTGATTTGAACCAATAACCTTTGTACATTATATTTCCTATTTTAAATGAAAATACTACATTTGAGTTAAAATCTATTCTAATGTATCTTTTTACCTTCTTTTCCTAGTTTCCAAGCATGTACAAGTACTAAATGAACAGTCCAGATTATAATTAGGTTTTGCAAGGATGCAAAAGCCACAAAAAGGGTAAATATAAGACCCTATCCTAAGTCAGGAAATTGATTGGAAAAGCAATCATTTATAATTTCTAAACTCATCAATTATTATTAATTTAGGTTTAGCATTTTGGATATCTATGCTTCCTATTCAAAAATTCTTGAGTCAGTATCTGGGCCAAGGTGTTAAACCTTAAAGGTAAGATACTTACTTTATACAAGAATTTGTTTAAAACTTTGAAGGTAAGATACTTACTTTTACTAAAGAGCAAATTATCCGGTTGGCCATTAAACTTTTGCCATCGTTCAGTTTTGGTCACTCAACTATTAAAAGTTTGGTTTTGACCATTGAAATATATAAAGTTAAGATGCAAGGTCATTCTGTTATATTTGGCCGTTAAATTTACCAATATGTCTGTTTGCACGATTTTCAAGATAAAAGTTAGGGTCAATTTAGGAAGTTCAACATCTTCTCTCAAAAATTGTTCCTCTTCCTCCTCCCCCTCCTCAAATCTTCGTCAGACCCTTTTCATCCACCGCAAGCATCAAGACCAAACCCAGAACCTCCCCTCAAGCAACCCAATCTCCCTGCTGCCCGTCCCCAAATTCTCCATTCGCTAAACTTCCTTCCTCCGGTCCCTCCACCAGCGGCACCTCCGCTTCAAGCTGTACATCCCTCTCCAGCCTCCATCTCTCCCTCCTGGAACACGCCTATATTTATGATTTCTCCGAAATCTGTTCTGTCGCCAACAATTTTCTCGCCAAACGCTACTCCACTTCCTCCTCCTCCTCCCAGTCCTGGTGCTGCGAGCTCAACGGAAAGGACGTCATTATTTTCCAACGGAAAATCCATCAAACAATCCACGAATCTGACTCAGATCCAAATTATTCTTTATTTGTAAAAGCCACATAAATGCTTAATCAAGCTCCTCGGAGCTTCCATTTCAAATAATCACATTTACTTAGTTTACAAATTTATCAACGGCTCCAATCTTTCTACTTGTCTCCAAAATCCAAGAAACCCTGATTTCACCTTTCTTTCAACCTGGATGTTGCGAATGCAAATCGCCATGGATTTAGCTTACGGCTTGAATTATATCCACACCGCAGCTAGATTTAGCATAAGTTTGGTCCACCAGTACGTGAAGAGCAGTGAAATTATTATCACTGAGCCTTCCTTGAATGCCCGAATTTGCCATTTCGGAGCCGCCGAGCTATGCTCC